CACCATTTAATCCTTTTTCACTTCCTCCGCCCAACACTTCGGAAAACGCCAGGAGGACACGTTGGTGAGGCAAACGTGTCTTGCAAAAATTTCCGAGTCCTCAAATAATTTCCCGATAATCAAATTTGTCCCCGAAGGGTACACTTCGCCCGAAATCGCTAATGCACCATCTATTTTAGGTTCCCGAAACCGAGGTGTTCGCCCTCACTACCAGCCCTCAAACTGAAGAGACGCTATGGTTGGGGGTAGGCTGGGGTCCGTCGTATGGGCTGGGGTAGGTTCGCCCGAGGCCTAGGCCCCAATAAAGCCGGAATTCCGACACCACTCTGTGTGAAGTTTCACCCGGTGATCTCCATCATGAGGCGCACAAACCTTGTGGGGCACTTTTTCGAACACAGCTTTTCCACGCTTCAGCAACGCCCTTCAGAGCACTCACCAGATTTCGGAAGCTGCTCTCTTCTGCCCCACATTTCCATCTCAATTTTTGGTAGGGAACTCCTGGCTCTGCTTGATTCAGGAAGCGAGGTGACTTGGATGAACGAGGAGGAATTTTCCGCACTTTCGAGTGGGCGCAGAATCGCAACACTCCCCGTTTCTTCCACTTTCATCCGAGGTACCACATGTCATCAAAGCCACGGTATCAAAACGCAGACATGGTTGCAATTTTCAATTGGTAGCCAAACTTTGAATTTTTGAATTTTTCACACAAGACTATAAAACATCCACAGATGCAACTCAGAAAAAAACAGTTAAGCAACATTCGTGTTCGGTCCACCCAGGTACACCGAAGGGGAAGGGGTGCATCAGACTCAACCCTCTCACCCACACGGGGGGATGTGTCCAGAAGAAAAAAAATCGATAGTCCTTCCTTTAGGTTAGCGTTTACATTCGCTACGCGAAGTTTCGCTCCGAAAACGCTGGGGGACGACTGAGGAAGAAGAGGTTGGCAACGAAAACAAACACCACAAGAAAAGCGACATGCCTGAAATACGGGGGTGGAAGTGGCAGCGGCCATTTTTGAAAGCGCACCACACTTCTTGTTTACCACTCTGTACAACAGGTTGTATTTTAACTTTGAGCTATTCTTTGCCTTTGTTGTTGTTTTTCGATTTTTCAGTGACGACGCTTCTTCAAAAATATTGAAATGTACTGAACAACGTACATTATCGGCTTAGTGCAATCATTTGGAGAAAAGTCGTCACCAACGTAAACTCGTCCGTCTCAGACATTTAAAAGCGGTAATGCAATAATGGCGCCTTCTTTATTGGTGTAGACAGAAAGCTTGTCTTAACTTTACATCAAGTGCATAGGTAATTGTCTCTGCAAGACCTTAGAGGACTTAACATTCTCTGTGTGATTACTGCGATAAGGTATTAGCATAGTGGCGCCCAATGTTACTCACAAAGAAAATTTAACTTTCGGCAAAATTGTAAGGTTTTGTGCAAAAAACCATAAAGGACTAATGTGGATAGGCCACATCCATACGTTGGCGAAGGTATATTGCGCTAGGTGCAACGTACAAATTGTGACAAGTCGAAGATTCGTTTGCCAAGGTAGACAGCTTGGATTCACGGGCGCTAGATTCAACTACACCCACTTCGTCGAGAGAGATATTATCCACTATCGGATGAAGAAGACGACGGCGACAGTGGTGTAGAATTGTGATGTGTGTAACTGTATGTATATAATTATATAATTATTATTATTATTATGTAAACCGGCTGTTCGGTAATAAAAATATCTATTTAAATTTAAATTATTTAAATTCTATATCAAGTTAACAGTGATCTAATTAAATTTTAATAATGGTATAATTAATTCAATTACATTCGCGATTAAAAATTTAAGTATAAATCAAAATCCATTAAGAGAATTAGCTTGATTGACTCATGTCAAAAATCCATTAAAATCGGTATCTTGATTGACACATGTCAAAAAACACATTAAGATCGTTTTCTTCATTGACACCTGTCAATCGTCTTAATTACCCCACTAATTATAGGCACTATCTACTGGGGAGCAACATTATGGCAGGAAAAAATAAATAAGAGTAACTTCAAACAAGATATTTTGAATGGTTAGTCACATTTTTAGTGATCATTCTAAGTGTGAATCATATTTTTGTGATAAAGCGGAAGTAGTGAACAATATATTTTTTGACGATGATCACACTTTACTTTATTAAACATTTTTTGGAGATACATAAATCGCATAGGAAATCTGTGGCCTAGTTTGTTATATGATGTCGACAATAATGCCGCTGACATATTTAATGCTTTCGTTGATAAAATGATTGATGGTAAAAGAATCAATTTTTCATTAAAAGGTTCTTATGAAGGAGGATGTTATGCTGCTGCAATAGACTAACTCTAAAGCTAGCTCATTAGAAAAAAAATTTAAGTAGCAATAGCTGTATTGGAAGGTTTGCAGTACAGAATTATTTTTACGTAGGGAAAAATAGCATCTAAGCAAAAACAAAAAATGGAAAAAAACGAAAAAAGTTTTTGCATCATAGTGCTGATTCCGACTGCGGTTTGGATGATGTTTTATCGAGGAAAAACCTGATATGAATCAGATTTTGCTGATGCGGAAAAAAAATTTTTGGATCGCCTGTATACATGTGACAGATCTAATTCAGGAAAAAACAGTTGGGCAACATTCCACTTCAGAATAGTATTAGCAAAAATCTTTTCGACTGACTCGAAGTCATTTTGGAAAGATCTGTGATATGAAGGAAATAACTGACACGAAAAACACAGTTAAATTTATTTTATATCCAAAATGTATTAATAATATATCTTTAAAAAATTTACCAAAACCTTTGTAGCCTGGTATTACGCATATTTAGTGTAAAAATTCTAGAGGCGTTTATTCTGAAGAAACCAAAAAGATCCGTAGAACTCCTGAAAATTTCGCAAATTGTGCCTCAGAAGCCATCAAAAAATAGGCGAATTAAGGTGTACGTTTGAAGATTTAAAGCGGGTACAGTCGGATGTACGAGACCTTATGGTCAAGCATAATGGTATTTTCGGAGAACACGAGTAAGAAGGGATCTCAGAGACGTGCAAAGTTATATTCATGAAATATCGGAACTATCCATTGAAAAAGCTAATGCATTGAGTCATCTTTCTTTCTCTTCTATTTTCCCCAATTCATTTAAGGTAAATATCAACTTACCAACTACTGATCTCGAAAAACGTTGTCAAAATCTAAAGTCCCTAAAGTTACACAACATACGAAATGGAGAACCCATCAGCATTCATAAAACCCATACCAATCCTCCAGTTATATTGCGGTTTACTCCTACACTTTTCATCAAGCGGCAAACTATCAGTAAAAAATCCCTTCCTGGTTCCTTTGTTTCAAAAACGCATAGGATAATGTCGAATTCTCACAGATGTCAAATTCAACACCCAGTGAAGCGAAAAATCATCCTGATGATTATTCGTACAACTCCGTCGGCATGTCTCAATCTAAGTTAAATAGCACGTCTAATTCAGAATCATCCACCGCGTTAGTCCAAGTAAAAAGTCCTGCAGATAATTCGAAAAAGTTGTTTATTATTGGATATCGGCAACCAATCTGAATTTAAAACGGAATATTTGTGTAAATCTATAGAATGAGATGTCAATAAGGATAACATGTTAATATTAGGCAAGAAAAAATATATATTACTGGTTTAGCAGTAAAGTGGAAAAAATTATAGTAATGCGAAGGATAGGATTAAAATTTATGAATATTCGGACGTCACAACAGGGACTAGTCCACTACAAGGTCGTGAGAAATTTCTCGTGGAAGTTCTTAGTCGATTGTTTGACACTTTAATAACCGCACTCACCAGAAGAAAAGATGTGTGTAATGATTTAGGGAAGAAATTCAAATTCTTAACGGACCTTACAAATAAACATCTAGCACATATTGACGAAGACAGCGTTGACTGTGTTTTACAGTGTTACAACGAGGACAAATTAAGGAATATTTAAAAATTTCTGCTGACTTAGCTCAGAAACTTACTGTAACATATTCAGATATACCTACTCGACTGCATTTAAAAAAAAAATGTCATTGACATTTTACCGAATCTCCACACAGTAGTTAAGATCTTCTTGACACTACCAGTGAAGCTGAAAGAGCTTTTTCTAAATTGAATTTTATTAAAAATAAACATAGATCGACAATGAAAAACGAAAAACTAAGTTCTGTGTCGATGCTTGGCAATTGAGAATGATATCACAAGGTCAATTACGTATGACAGCGCCATACGAACGTATGCTGACATCAAGTGCAGAAAGAAAATTGTTATAGTTTGTTTCTGTTTGTTTATTATATTTTATTTTTGTATTTTTGTTATTGTTTTTTTATATTAAAGTATTGAAAATGTGTATATTAAATGCTTCTAACAAACTTCTATTCATAAATGGGGCCCCAATCTTATCTTAATATATATAAATCTCGTGTCACAATGTTGGTCCTCAATGGACTCCTAAACCACTTAACCGATTATAATAAAATTCGCACACCATGTGCAGTTCGATCCAACTTGAGGGATAGGATAGTTTAAATCTCAAATTATAGTCGCAATTTTAATTTATTGCTAATTATTTGTCTGCTATTATTTGACAGTCACAATTATCTGTTAACTCCAAATGATTCTAACAGATGTCGATACCTTTCGACTGGGTTTCTAATATTTAAACGATTAAATTATTATTGTCAGTCAAATGCCACCGAAAAAAATCTAACCTCAACAACGCGAGCAGCAAAGGGTCACGACGCAAACGTGTTGAAAGAGCTCAGCAATTACCAGAACAAATCGAAACAAGAAATGCAGCTGAAAGAATCAGGACTGCAGTAAGTCGTGCACAAGAATCTCAAGAACGACATGTTATCCCTCGCAAGCACAAACTTTGTGGGAAAAATATAAAAATTGTATGACAGAAGACATCTTGCACCGAATTAGACAAACATATCAATGCCAAAACATAGATTATACACCAGAGATGTACAATGAAGCATTGGTCTTGATCGAGGATTTATGTGTTCTTATTTCAAATTTACCACTTGATCATTATGGTATGCCATCACCTAATCGTCCAGCCACCGACTTAGTCAATACCGATTTACAACGAGAAAATCAATATGACCATGGAAGTTTAGCAACAATTATCATGAACAGTGAACCATTACTGACAGCAGAACAAAAAATTATTTATGATCGGATTATGCTGGCTGTTGCTGCTGAACAAGGCGGTTTTTTTTTCTTGGATGCACCCGGTGGAACCGGTAAGACATTTTTAATATCGTTGATTCTTGCCAAAATACGGTCGCAACAAAAAATCGCATTAGCAGTAGCATCGTCAGGCATTGCGGCTACTTTACTGGATGGTGGGCGAACAGCACATTCAACATTCAAGCTGCCATTGGACGTTCATAATAAACCAGATGCAATGTTTAACATCAAAAAGAATAGTGGAATAGCTGCAGTGTTGCGGAAGAGTTCTATAATAATTTGGGATGAGTGCACAATGGCACACAAATATTCACTTGAAGCATTAAACAGAACTATGCAAGATTTAAACAGCAATAATAAACTTTTCGGTGGTGCTATCTTACTTTTGTCTGGTGACTTCCGGCAGACCTTACCGGTTATACCACGCTCTACTTTCGCGGATGAGATTAATGCATGTTTGAAACAATCATTCTTATGGCGAAGTGTTGAAACACTTCGATTGACCATAAATATGCGAGTACAATTGCAAAATGATCCATCAGCACAAATATTTTCCGAACAACTACTAGATATTGGGAACGGTAAAATAGAACTGCAACCAAATACGCAATGCATTAAACTACCAGACAATTTTTGCACTGTTGTTCAGGATAAAAATGAATTGATTCAGAGTATTTTCCCGGATATACAGAATAATTATTTGAATCATGAATGGCTTAGTCAACGGGCGATTTTGGCAGCCAAAAACGTTGATGTTGACGAAATTAACTTCCAGATACAACAGTTGTTACCAGGTGATCTGATGTCTTTTAAATCAATCGATACTGTTGTTGATGAAAATGAAAGTGTAAATTTTCCGATTGAATTTTTAAATTCATTAGATATCCCTGGAATGCCACCACATAATCTTCGATTAAAGATTGGTTACCCTATTATTCTCCTCCGTAATTTGAATCCACCTCAATTATGTAACGGTACGCGTTTGGTCATCAAAAAGATCACCGGAAACATTCTTGAAGCAACCATTTTGGCTGGGAAGTTTAAAGGAAAAGTGGTCCTGCTGCCACGTATTCCGATGATACCATCAGATTCTACCATACCCTTCAAAAGGCTACAGTTTCCAATTCGTTTAGCTTTCGCCATGTCTATAAATAAATCTCAAGGTCAAACAATGTCCATTTGTGGTTTAGATTTGGAAAATCCATGTTTTTCTCATGGGCAACTATATGTTGCGTGTTCACGTGTTGGGAAACCGTCGAATATATTTGTGTTAGCTAAAGACAGGTTAACCAAAAACATTGTGCACCGATTGGTGTTAAATTAAATTGAAATTGAAAGTATTTATAATTCAAAAAAATAGATATTAATGTTTAAAACTTTAAGACTGTCTGCCTTGCCTACCTCATTCATGAGTTTAAGCGTCACATGTTATTTACTGTATTATACTGTAATATACTTATATTTGTTATAAAATTAAATGGAAATAATAAATCTGATAAATTTTTATTTTGTACCTATTGATTTCTGCTTAATATCAAGTGTAAGAACATTTTAATTATTTGTGTTCAACGTACTTCCCCTTCAAATCTCAATCCAGTGAATTTGTATACCAACATCAACATTTTCGTCTTTGTTCGTAAATAATTTCATTGTACTAAAGGGTTATAGTAGTAGAAAGTCAAATAAGGAGATCACCATATTTTTTTACAAATACCATCTGTGTGAAAAAGCATAGTGGACTCCGTGACTGATGTTCTCTTATTGTTCCTCTTAGATTGTTTACTATAATGTAATATAACAAAAACTTTAGCCACAGCAACGCGTGGCCGGGTCAGCTAGTTAAATAATATGTAGCATCAGGGCCCGACAGTTTAGATCCGCCTTTGCGTTACCTTATCCCTCCCCCAATCATCCCTCTGAAAAATTAGTTTTTACTTTATGCTTTACAAATACAGACGTGCCTGTTTTAACAATCTGAATTTAAAACGAAATATTTGTGTAAATCTATAGAGTCAGATGTCAATAAGGACAACATGTTAATCTTAGCGCGATATTCGGCAAGAAAAAATATATATTATTGGGGACAGTTTTGGGTGAAAACAGCCATAAAAGTACCGCCATTTTACCCAGAGGACCCGACGCTTTGGTTTCTTCAGCTAGAAGGTCAGTTCCAGCTAAACAATATAACCTCGGATAACACAAAATATTTTCACGTGTTGACGAATCTGGAACCACGCTACACATCCCTTTCACACAAAATTCGTTTAGACGAAATTATTTCTTGTTTCTAGGAAATTGAAACCGTTGAAACCATCGACAAAGCCATTAGCAAAGATTCACAAAGTACGCTTCGTGAACCCCATTTTAAAGACACCACGGGCCGTTCACCCGATGGTCGTTTTGTGGTGAAAGCCCCTTCAAGAAATAATTTAAGAAAACAAAACGCTAGAAAGACTAAGCGAAAAAGAGATTCGGGAGACTGCTTTGAGCAAGCAACCTCTACATCCGAACCAACATGCCTACATCCAAGGAAGATCCACCGATACGGCCTTACACACAGTTGTAAACCGTATAGAGTGGGCGATGGAGAACAAACTCTTCACCTTAGGAATGTTTTTGGATATTGAAGGAGCGTTTGATAAAACGACCTTCAAAAGCATAGAACTAGCCCTACGAAAGCACGACGTGGACCCCACCCTAAGTAGGTGGGTGGCCAGTATGCTGAGGAATAGGGAAGTAATGATTAATGTAGGTGGCACTGAGATCGAGGCTGTTGTAGACAGGGGATGTCCTCAGGGAGGAGTTCTCTCTCCTGTACTGTGGGATACTGTCGTTGACAGCCTGATACGACGCCTCAATGATCTTGGCTACCACACAATTGGATACGCGGACGATCTGGTCATTCTGCTAACAGGAAAAAACGGAATATTTGTGTAAATCTATAGAATCAGATATCAATAAGGACAACATGTCAATCTTAGCGATATTCGGCAAGCAAAAATATATATTATTGAGGGCAATTTTGGGTGTTTAAGAAATAATACTCCGAAACGAATAAAAACCCACCTAGTAATACCCCGTCAGTCGATCGCGTTGGCGTAAAAGTTTCACCGTTTTTGCCCCAGGGTCCTGAATTATGGTTCTTATTACTCGAGAGTAGTTTTGAAGCGTCAAACATTACGCAAGAGAGCACGAGACGCGAAGCGAAGTACGCGATGTACTCATGAAGCCTAAAAGTGAACGGACGTACGAACTGTTGAAGCGCGAACTAATCAAACACATAGGAACATCCAAGGAAGACGATACGCGCCGCTTCCTGAAGAACGAACCACTCGGCGACCGAAAACCTACGCAGTTCCTTCGCCACCTACGAGTTCTCGCCGGGACGGAGTTCCCAGAAGAGATCCTACAGACGCTGTGGATGAGACACTTGCCTACACACATGCAAGCGCTGCTGGTCGCACACAAGGACCTCACGCTGGCACTAATACAGCTGAGAAGGACTAAAACACCAAAGTATCACGACACTGCTAAACGGTCCTTCGATTAACCTGCGGCGCAACGCCACATTTGGTCCTTCGAGACGGATGAATCAACGAATAAACAAATCATCGAATCAAGAAACATCACGTGACCAAGCTGATTATTTTAAAAACCATAAGGAGCAATTACACGGAGGTCCAGCAGCGACTCTTGCTGCTGTTCGCGGAAGATATTGGCCAATTGCAGGCAGATCGGTAGTTAGAAATTTGCTACACAAATGCTATGTTTGTTTTCGCACAAATCCTCAATATGATGATCAATTAATGGGCAATTTGCCTGCTCTGACAGTGCAGCCATCCCGTGCTTTTCTTAATTGCGTATAGACTATGCAGGACCCATTTTTATGAAGGAAGGTGGTCGCCGTAGTAAAAAATCCACTAAAGTTTATATTGCATTATTCAAATAGCCGGCATTTTTATACTTGTGTGAGATCAAATTAAATTACTGTGCAATCTCCGATTCGGCGTGAAATCAGACATATCGAAATACTACATGGTTGTCAGCGCCTTGGACGGGACGGACATCCTAGCCAACCCTCCTGCGGAACACAAGTATGAAACGATCAAAAATAAGATCATCGCAGAATTTACGGATTCGCAGGAGAGACAAATTAGAAAACTAATCAACGAGCTAGAGCTTGGCGACAAAAAGCCATCCCAACTTCTCAGGCAGATGAAGACTTTGGCAGCACGGCAAATTACGGACGACGTACTGAAAACATTATGGCTGTGTGGCCGCCTGGAAGTATGCAACCAGTTATACACACAGAATGCAGCCACCGGATTGGCAGTTACAACGCGCAAGCCCAAAGAGGAAACGCCATAGCCGAAACGTAGAGCAAAAAAACTCTCTTCTTCTCCGACTACTCCCCGTGTGCAGACGTCCTCTTCTCTTCAAAGACCTCCACGTGGACATACACTTACAACCTTGGGCTGTATTATCACTTTGTAGTTGGTATTGTAAATAAACCTTTACTAAAACCCGTTTCCGTTAGTAATACGAAGACAACAATTACAGCTGTAAAGACTCCCGTCAGATGTCAATAAGGATAATATGTATGTTAATCTTAGCGCGATATTCGGTAAGAAAAAATATATATTATTGGGGACAGTTTTGGGTGTTTTAAAAAATAATACATCCCTTACGGGCACTATGTACGACAAAGGCATTTCCCTTTATCTGATTACGAAGACGATGGTGACAGCGGTATAGATGTGATTATACGATACTTTTATGTGTATATATATAAAGACCCACCACTGACCCGGAAATGACCGGCATTCAGGCAAGACTTCTATCATTACGGGTACTAAGACCAAGTAATGATATGCATTGATTAGATTAACAGAACAACTTTCGAGATTCTAGAATTACAGCATACAAATTAGTCTGCTATTATTCTCTAATCTCACCCCATCCCCAAAAGTCCAGCGTAACTACCGACCATTTATCCGCGCATCACATGAAAAGTGACCTACACTACTCTGACCTACTGGTGCTAATCTAATCTGACTGACATGATCAGACTGTTCAAGAAACTTACGAACAATATGACATGTTCCTAACAAAACAGCTTTTTGAATTTTGACAATTATTGAATCATTCAAATGCAAAGACTTTAAATTCTCAACTAAGCTATTTGGAACTACACCTACATTAGAGATAACTAGGGGTAGAATTGAAATTTTTTTAAGATTCAACATGGATTTCATTTCTATCGATAATTGTAGATATTTTGAAATCTTGGTGTCGTATGTTTGAATAATGTTGTTTGTGTTAGGAATAGCAATGTCAATGAGAATGGCTTCGTTCGTGTGTTTTTTGATAAGTATGATGTCTGGTCTGTTAGCTGTAATGTTTAAGTCTGTAAGTATTGTGCGATCCCAGTATAATTTGTATTTGTTATTTTCAAGGAATGGAGACGGAATGTAAGTGTAATAGGGTGTCGTATCTTCGATTAAGTTCATAAGTGTTGCTAATTCTTTGTGAATGATTTTGGCTGCGTTGTCGTGTCTAGCTTTGTAATCAGTTTGTGCTAGGATGCTGCAAGAAGAGATTATGTGCTGGATCGTTTCAGGTTTTGCTTTGCATAGGCGACAGCAGTCGTTTTTTATGTTCGGATCTTTGATGATGTATTTTCTATAATTCTTGGTATTGATTACTTGGTCTTGAATAGCAAACACAAATCCTTCTGTTTCGGCATACAAACTTGATTTTTTTAACCAAATCAATGACATCTTCTTATTGACATGATTATCTTCTAAGTCTTTGTAGAATTTTCCATGCAGTTGTTTTTGTTTTAGCCCACTTATTATTTTATCTATTGTTTGGGGGGTGTGGATTTCTTCGGTGTTCGACAGATTTAAGGGTGTGTGGTTCAAATCTGCTCTTGTGATGGTGCGAAACATTTCATTTCTTTCCGCTCGTTTCAAGAAATACTTCTTCAAATCTGAGATTTGTCTCTGATATAAGTTTTCTAAGTTCTGGAAACCCCTTCCTCCATTCTGTCTTGGTAATGAGAATCTTTCAATCGACGATTTTGGGTGATGCCTTCTATACTGTGTGAAGATTTTCCTTGTTGCGATGTTTAAATTTTCAAGATCAGTTTTGGACCATTTAATGACTCCAAAAGAATATGTTAGCAGTGGAACGCAGAATGTATTTACTGCTTTCATTAAATTTTTTCCATTTAACTGTGTCTTCAATATTAATTTTAATCTCGCTACGTATTGATCTTTCAACTGTGTTTTCGTTTTGGTATGATTGATGTGGGAGGATTGACAGAAACCCAGATATTTGTATGTATCGTTTCGTTCTTGGGCTTCAATTATTTCCTTATTCTGTGTTATATGTGGTACTTGGTGAAACACGCCTTTTCTGATTGCTTGGGTCTTACATTTCTCAATACCAAAGGACATACCGATATCACCGGAAAATTGTTCAGTCAGATTTAATAGGTTTGTTAACTGATTTTGTGTACTTGCATATATTTTTATGTCATCCATATACAGCAAGTGACTTATTCTGTTTTCTCTTTGTTTGTTAATTCTTATATTGAACCCATAATTGCAGCTGTTCAGGATATCGGAGAGGGGATTTATTGCTATATTATTATGTATGTATATATTTAAATTTTAATTATTTGAATCCGCTATCAAATAATAATAGTGATTTATTTAAATTTAATAATGGTATAAATAATTTAATTACGTTCACGATTAAAAATTTAATTATGGGTAACGAAGATCCTTCTTAACGTATTCATTCATAGTTCATCATTCGTTGTTCAAGCATGCAACATCACTCATTCCACATTCATTTGTGGACCCAACGGTTATATTCTATCCTAGAACTTGCCATTGTTAAATAAAATTTGTAAAGGACTTTTCGGATTTCTTATTCATATTTGAACAATTCAAGAAACATCATAGTTTAAATTACAGTAAGTGTGTAGCGCCACCTATCGGCGACAATTTAAATATTTTCAAATTGGCACACTACTCGTACCTCTACCAGTGAGAGGGTCGACGGAGAAAGGGATGTCAAAACGGAGTGACGATTCCTTCTTTTCCCCGACACCGAAGGAGGAACATCTACCTGGGAGAATAAATTGTTTTTGTTGATCGAAGTCTACTTCTTGGAGGAAACTGGCCACGATTACCCATAAGCGAAAGCGGAACATTATATTGAAAGAAAGAGACGAAATGTGGCTTGGAAGACGCGGTACTTTTGATAAATAAACAAAACATGTAGCATTTCTTAATGGTTTGTCAACAGGCCCGAAAGATCTGAACGGAAAATGGTTTAGTTATTTTCGAGTCAAAAACATAGGGTGATTATCACGAACAAATGAGAAGTGGTTCCAAAATATTTTGACAAATGTAGAGAACAATGCATCTATTGTTATGGATAGATCTCCAAGCTTGGTTGGAGATTAAAAATATAGGATTTGAGGATGACATGATCAAAGCAGAATTGCTGCAACTGGTAAAAGAAAATCGTCCGATAGAAAATAACTACGTTGTGGATGGGAGTTGTACAAGATTTTGGAGATTCATGTGGAACCTCTAATTATATTAACCTTGTGGCGACTTCAACCCTTGGTATATAGGCCACACACATTACGCGACTCACCAATTGGTCAAGCGACGACGCAGGCGCCAAAAAGAGAAGATGAACCAGAAAGAAACTCGAAACTAGCCTGGACTGACGATGAATATTTTGATAAATGGTTTGCCACCATGTTGCAATCTTTAGAGGAACCATCGTCAATTATTTTAGACAACGCATTATATCATTCCAGACTAGAAAATAAACACCCAACGTCTAAAATTGGTTGGAACAAAAGGAAAATTTATTATTCATCATCCAAGTTTTAAATGTGACTTACTTTTAATAGAAAAGGGGTATAAGATGAAGAAAATGTATGTAATTGACAAAATGGTGGAACTAAAAGGTCAGAGTTCTTCGCTTGGCTCCGTATCATCGTCAATTCAAAGCAGGTGAAATGGTTTGGAGTCAAACTAAAAGAAGAAATGGTTACAACAACGAAACAGCAGGTACTTAGTATGCGGGACGAGTGTCTTCAACAAGTTTCCGTAGAGAAATTATTTTAAAAAGTTGAAGATGACACCTTCAAGAGAAAAATGAGCAAGAACGTTGAATAAAATTTTAATTAGTGATG